AACCAACGAGAGCTCCTTGTGGGAGGGCAGCTCAGTCTGGTGGTGTTTGGTTCCTCATAGGGAATGCCTGTGACCTTCAACTTCAAAGGGAGTAACAATCAACTGGTTTCTAACTGAGACCAGCACCCTCCCAGGTGCCTGGGGCAGTGATTTTGAGTCTCAAAGAGCCTCCTCTGCAAGGAAGCCATCCAAATACTGTATCATTATGCCATGTGAACCATTTATTAAACTTTGCATCCCAATTAATTTTCTTCGGTTCTGAAAACAGTAATAAGTATGTAATAGTAATAACTGAAAACACTATAATAACTATGATTATGATCACCTTGTTACCACTGATGGGAGTGATTTGCCTGCTGAGATTTTAGTCATGATTTCTCCCGGGAGCCCACCACTTGCAGCAAAGGGCAATGCTAATGTTTAACATAGCTGACAATACTAAAGAAGGGGCTAGGACATCACTCTTTGCTGGTTTTAGTGGGGGGATGAGAAACATCTGTCTTGAATGTTACAAGGAAAAAAATACCTCAGCATGCGATTTCATGTGTGAATCTGTGGTATTCAGCAAGATGGAATGTGATCTCTTGGGGGAGATCGTATCATTCTCCAAAATGAGCCAAAAAGGACAAAATAACTATCCTGGGTGTGTGAGTAATGGCTTTGTAACACCTCATGTATTCCATTTTTCTGTTAGTCTCTGGTTTATCTTTTTTTTTTTTTTTTTTTTTTTGAGGGGAAATATCTTCATGCCAGAATGTGATTGAATAAAGACTGTCATTCATGTTGCAACACGTTGTGAAAATATCCTGGAGAGCCTAAAATAGTCCAGAGAGAGACTGAGAATAGCCATGTGCATGGCTTCAAAGCCCTAGTAAAAGTCAATGGGGTCACTCATTTTGATTTCACTCAGATCCACAGCAATGTAAAGCCTTGAAAATGCAGTGATAGGTGCTAGATTAGAATTGGGTGGGTCCCCACTTCTTCTGAGAGTGCCACTATCCCTACCCACCCGTGCTGGCTAAGGAGAAAATTTTAAAAGCCATGATTAAAATGACTTTTTATACTTATTTAATTATCAGGAATTCTTCTGAAGAAGACACGCCTCATCCCAGAAAACCAAGTGTTTCCAGCAGAACTGTGAAGTGTGAGATCCCTGCAGAATCCTCAGTGGAAAACAATTACCCTGGTGTTATTGGGGACATCACCATGCCTTTTCTGCTCTGCTTGAAAAAAAATGAGTCACCTGTGCCTTTAGGCAGGAATATCTTTCAAAAACACACCCCTCCCATCCAGCAGAACTACCAGGCTTTGCTGGAGTCGTGCTTGAAGAACAAATGCCTGTTCGTAGATGACAAGTTCCCTGCTCATATCAGCTCTATTGGAACAGGAGCACTGCTAAAGAAACTTCCCCGAAATTTACAGTGGAAGAGGCCACATGTAAGTGACTTTCAGTGAGTACTGTAGTGTAAGAGGATGATTGCAGCTGATAGCCAGCAAATAGTTTTAACATTGAACAGACTACTCTTAGACTTTTATTTAGGTGCACTTTAATGTCTCCAGAGATTACATTTATTGTATCAGATGTCATTTTGAAAGCTGGGGTACACAGAGTTTCATAATTGCCCTTGAAGCATTTGTTGCCCAAAATCATAACCAGCCTCATTCATTTTGTATCCAGTGATGCTTGGAGCAGGCAGGGAGAGCAGGCAAAGGGAGCAGGTGGAGCTGGTTTCCTTGGAGCTCACAGCTATGGTGATCCCACCATGATTCTGTGATGACAGTACTCATGGCAATGGTTCCTCTCCCTAAAAATTCAAGATCCTGACCTTTTAGAAAATTTCTGAGATTCTAGATAGTTCTTAGCCTTTGACCTCTCTCTCCTATGGATCACATATTGTTTTGATGCTGGAGGCTGCTACTTTCCCAGGCAGCAGCAGGTGCCTTATCCTCTTGCTGGGCTGTTTTTTTTCCCCTGCTTAAGTGTTTAGTCTATTCTTCTTAGAGCAGTCTTTTCCCAGCTCTCAAGGTTGAGCTACTACCACAACCAGTAACTGACCATCAGTTGGTGAGTGGGTTTTAGCCTTGAGGATTGCTTTCTACCTATGCTGATATTTTCAAGGCCTTTACTGGTATCCTGTGCTTAAACTGAACATCATAACAAGCGACACCTGGTTGCAAGGTCACAGGGGAAGTTCTAATTACAAATGGATAGATAACAAGTCTAAGAGGCCAAGGCAGGGGCCTGGCACAGTTAGATAAGGCCTGTTACTGGCAATGGCAGTTCTGTTCTTTCTGAGCCACTGAGCAGAGAATTGACAATCAGATCTTCCTGAAAGCAATGTAAAAATTATGTGACAATTTCAGAACCCATGTATTACTGTCCCTGTAAGGGAATTCTGCCAGGTAATAGCAGATAGCATCTCCAAGCTAAGTTATTTTCTAGCTGTCATACTTTGTCAGACTTAATTTCTCACAAGAGCTGAGCTTCTGCAAAACTCATGAAAGTCACCAGGAAAGTAGAGGCATCTTTGCAAAGCAAGCAGGGGAGCTTGGGAAGAGCAGCCCTCATTCTTACAGTTTCATACATAATTCAGTCTTTCAGATGGTTTGTGTTAAGTTTAGATCTGCAGGTGGAGGAAGAGTGTAGTCCTCAGGGGCCTGAGCTGGGTTTTGCTTGTGCTGTGGAACACAGGCAGCTATATCAGCATAGAGGGATTTAGGGAGGAAAGTCAGCATTAGCCCTGGACTCCACCAAGCCCTTCAGGTGTCCCTCCATCCCACAGATATTGTAATGGATTGAAACCTTCTCTGTCTCTCTTGTTCTGCTGCTCTGCTGTGATTCTTGGGGTGCCCTGTGTAGGGTCAGGAGTCGGACTCGATGATCCCGATGGGTCCCTTCCAACTCAGCATATTCTATGATTGTAAAACTGCCTTGTGAAGGAGGCTGCCATTTACTCTGTATGCCAAACTTAGCAGAGCAAAGTCTCTCTGAGGATGGATGCTGTGCATCCTTCAGTCCCTGTGCTGCAGAGAAGATGCTGAGATTCTTCTGTTCACCCTGCAGGCTTGTAGCTTGCTGCATCTATGACTGACAGCCTGCAAACTGAACACACAAACTCACCAAGGACAGGGCTTTGTGTCTAATTACTGTAATTGCCTTCTGAGAGTTTGCTGTTTCTTTGCTAATGCCTATAGGGGAAGCCAATAGTGTGAAACTTGCTTGAGCAATTTCTGGGTCATTCGAGTGAAATGTAGGTTTGACACTTAGGTTGTTAATTTAACCCCAGAGGCACTTGTGAAGGGAAAAAAGTAACATTATTTCTCTCTGAACCTGTTCTTGTCACAGAGACAGGAACTGCTGTAGCAGCCATCAGTCTGTAGCCCAAATGTCAGTCAAATCAAGGAGATGTCAGTCAGGTTAGCTGAAAGTTTGAATAGTTATGCTCTGCCATTGTAATCTCCTTAGGCTGAAACTTGTATGGAGGAGCAGGGCTGGCATATTTGAGGGGTTTTCTTCTCAGTGTGGTGTTCATGGAAACCCACAGTGATGCAACTGGTGAGCACCAGTGACTTATGCTGGAGACCAAATTCAGTGTACACCAAGCACAAGTGTGTGCCCAGGCTGGTGTCAGATTAGCCAGAGCACATCACACTAGATTTATACCTGAACCAGAACAGTGTCTGCTGGGACAAAGGGACTGTAAGTATTTTGAAAGCTTCAAAAAGGCAGAGGGAATGTTCTGTGTCACATGTCCATGAGGTTTTTACACCCTAGACTAGGAACTCGCTGGATTTCCCATCTTATGAGATTGCAGCTCTGCACACAGAAAATCCTTGACTTTCAAGCTAAACCAGCTCATGTTACTTACTTGACTCTCTACCTTTTTTGTGTGTGTGTGCTTTCCAGGCTTTGCACAAAAGTCCAGTATTTTATGCTGCAAACAGAAAGCAACTTGATCTGTGCCAAGGATTGGTGGGTAAGGAAACTCCTTTGTATAACTACCTAAGCATTCTTATACAAGATAACGTTTTGCATGGAAGTTGGATTGTCTAAAACTTGGCATAGAAATAGAAGGTGTCTTTCTCCTCTTTTCCACAATGCCAATACTTGCCATGGTGTGGGTGAAGCAATTAAGATGGGATAGGCTCGGTGAAAAAAATGGCAAGCTTTGAGGTGGTATTTGAGGGAAGAGAGGTGTCTCTACAAGCTGAACTCACCACTCTGTGTTGCTTCTGTGCATGCTAATAGGAAGTGATCCTGTGCTTTTACTGGTCTGTGGTGTTGCAGGGACCACAGAAGCAGGACTTCCACTATCTTTGTACCTAATGCTTAGTATGAGTGTGTTCTCTTCGCAGCCTTGAAGTTAGAAAAATAATTTTATGCCATGTTGCCTGAAGTAAAAGGCTATATTGTCACCTGCAAAAGAGGTAGAGGTGGGACTAAATTATTTTTTAAGTGCTTTAAGTCCTTAAAAAAAAAGTTTGATAAGTACAGTTTTGCATGTGAAATCCATTGCAAATTATTTTTCTTTTCTGAAAAGCAAAGGTTTTCAAAGAAAAATGGAAAAGTTTTTTTAATAGTGTGCCTTTATAGAGGAAAGAAAAAAACTGACACAGTGTCAGTAAAAACCAGAATGTTTTCATTGACAATTATTGCTTGCTAAATTTCTTATTTAACCAAATAATATCCAAATGAAAAGATCACGAGAGAACAATAATAATTCAATCATGGTTTGATTAAGTAAAGCACATGTCTGGATTGTCTAATTTTCTGTGTGTGATTTGTTATAATTGTAAAGACGTCAGCACAACAGCTCTGCTGCTAGGATCTTAGTGGTGTTCCTTAACTTGGCTGACAGCTCTCGCTTTTCAGCCAACTCATGTGTCCGTTTGTCTTGGCGCAGAGAACTGCTGGTTCCTGGCGGCCCTGGAAGCCCTGACGTTCCACCAGGACATCTTGGCTGCAGTTGTGCCACAAAACCAGAGCTTTGAGAGGAAATATGCTGGCATTTTCCACTTCCGGGTACAGCTGCTCCCCCAGATTGCAGGGGATTTTCATAAATCCCCTGCTATGTTTTGTGTCACACCCTGAGATGTACGTGGTTCCTCTTGGCCAGGGGCAAGTGGCCAGAGGGTATCCCGGCCTGGAGAGCAGCCCATCACCCCTCCCACAAAGCAATGCAGGCAGTGAATCAACTGCAAGTCGCTCCAAGGATACACCTCCCCTTGTCCCTTCTTTCCAGCTGTGCGCTACCTGTATTTTAAGCCAGACAAAACCCTTTCTTCAACAGTCAGCAGACCTGAGCACATCTGCTCCAATCTTCTACCCTTTTGCCCACCTCTTGATGCAACCGTGCTACCCTGCAGTTAGGAATTCCTTGCCCAGAAGTCCAGCTGTGGCTTATTTCCCTACTTATTCCTTGTACACCTGATATATGCTTTGTTTTCTCCTCTGTCTGGGTGGGGCTGAGGATTTGGCTCTGTCCCACATCCCACTGACCCACAGCAGCTTGTTCTGTGCCCACAGCTAGGCTATCTTGCCTTTCCTGTTGTTTCAAGGGGAGGTCCTTTCTAAGGGAAACATCAACTCATTCCTTTCCCCTGACAGTTCTGGCACTTCGGTGAATGGGTTGACGTGGTGGTTGATGATCTCCTGCCGGTGAACGAGGCGGGGGAGCTGGTCTTTGTTTCCTCAGTCTATAAGAATGTGTTCTGGGGAGCCCTTCTGGAGAAGGCATATGCTAAGTAAGTGACTCATTCCAAGTTATGCAAATAGTCTCTGAAATATGTTGGTTGGTGCCTACGCAGTTTGTTCATGTTTACAAATGCATTTTGTAGGCCTTGCTATATTTGGAGTGTAATAAATGGTTCTCATCTTTCTATTATTACACAGTAAAAGCTGCTATTGCAGTAGCTGTTACCAATCCAGGCCCCTGAGTTTAAACCCAAGGGTTTAGGTGTGAAAACAGACCTATTGTGGGGGTTGTACTTTGAGTGTTATCACTGTTTGCAGTGTACTGTCTATGCTGGTGCCTTCTTTGTAAATACTATAGAGGAGCTGGAGGCCACAGATAAGGACTTTCAAAGGTGAATGATTTCTGGTGCTTCCTTTGATGTATTATCAGTGTGAGAAACCTCCAAGAGTTTTCATTTTGGAGGTCTGCTGAAGCATTGTACTTTGTTTTGGTAGAAGCTCCTATTCTCAGGTCCCCCAAAGCTGACGCATGTAACAAGTCACATGCCACGGTGAGAACAGTGGCTTCTCTCTAGAGTGTTTTGTCTACAACGCTAAACTCTAGTGGTAGTATCAGGACTAAGAAGAAAGCAACAAGGCATAACTGATGGAGTTTGTTAATATTGGGCTGAAGTAATCTCTGCAGAGCAGGGAAATATCCTAGTTAACATTCAGAGAAAGATCACAGTAAAGGTGAGAAAATTCATTAAGTTTCATTTGGTGCTGGCATTAGAACAAAAAAACTGGACAAAATTGCACTGCAATGGTAAAAACAATCAGATTGGAGACTAAGCTCTCAAGACAGCATGCCTCTCAAGGTACTATATTTTAGATACAGCACACTGTCTGGTGATAAATTCAGGCAACATTTGCTAAGGCAGAATTATCAAAGATGTTGTGATAGGCATGTTCTCATTACAGAGCAGTAAGGGATGACAATGAGCGAAGAGTACCTTTCAGACTATGGCCGTCTTGGAGGCAATTTTCTAGATTCTCCTCTTCCTAAATACAGAAGATACAAAGATTCCCCTAAAATTAAATATGAGTTACAGCCTTCCTTCTGCTTTTTGCACACTTTTTTGTATGTTTTCATTGTCACACTGTCCTCAACCTGTCATCTGTGACTGTAATCCAAAGAATATATTGATGTCATTTTTTGCTAGACTTTATGGCTCCTATGAAGATCTGCAGATTGGGCAAGTTTCAGAAGCCTTGGTGGATTTTACAGGAGGTGTTAACACAAGGATCAAGCTTGCAGAAGCTCCTCCTGATCTGTGGGATATCCTGACAAGAGCCACCTACAGCAGATCTCTCATGGGCTGTCAAACACACCTAGGGGTGAGACTCGGAGTGACGTCAAATGGCTTTACAGCTAAAAGCCTTTCCAGACCTGTTTAATGCTGCTCAGCTAGTTATTGTGACCCAAAAAGTATCAAAGCTGCCACATGTGACTTTCTGTAGAAGTCACATTCTTAATATTAAACTTTGTACATGGCTTGATTCCCTGCTGCTCTAAAATCCCTGTTGTTATATTCAGAAATATCTATCACAGAACCTCTATTTAAACGAGGTCCTACAGTATTTTCCTTTTTTTGCTAAATAAATTTTCCATTTTTACAGACTGTGCAATGAGGCACAGACACACATGGAATGAACTTACAGCTAAGGCAGAAGAGGTGTGTAGTTTAGAACATAAGTTCAAATGTTGGCTTCCAAGCCTTATGCTAACACTTCAGCTATTGAGAAACTCTAATATTCTGAAAATCAAAACCTAACCTCCTGGACTTTTTGAAAGTGAGATGGTCTCTAGCCAAAGATCCGCAATTTAGGAAAGGACCTTCCCAATCAACCTTTCAATTCCAAGCATACTGCGAAATATGGCTGTTAAGAGCTTCAATTTATTTATTCATTTAATTTTCAGTTCAAACCATTCTCCATTTGCTTTAGGAGTCATTGCTGACACAGGTACAGGTCTCTGGTATTGGTATGAGTCTGTCATGTAAGTATAGGTAGAATAAAAGATTTATTTTCCTTCTCTTTCTCTTCCTTGTATACAGACAACAAAGGTCCTGAAGAATGGACTTGTTGCTGGCCATGCCTACACAGTAACTGGTATTAGAAAGGTAAGGCTAGCCCTAATGTCCTGGGTACAGGTTTATTTGGATATCAGCAATTTTTATTGCAGTCATAGGTTCAACCATTAATCAGAGCAACTATGGTATCTCCTCCCCAATGCTCTTTTCTAAGGCTAAAAGAGACTGTGTGCTTTGTTAAGATTCCCTTTTGAGAGTGTCCATTTTAATATCAAGGTCTTAATGTAAAGGACAATGGTTATGGTTCAATATATCTCTAAGGGTGGGAATGATTCATAGGGCTCTGCTGAGACCATCACCTACAAATGCATCTTAGCTGCTTTAGATGAAAGGACTGGACTTTGGGGCTGCTGGGAGGATGTGCTGAAACTTGGGATGTGCTTTTTACTTGGAATAAAAAGCCTTCCTCTGAAGCCAAAGGAGAGGCCATAGAGAAGTAAAGATACAAGGGCCGAAATATGAAAGACTGCAAATGGAAATGTGAGTCAGTGGTGGATTAAGGGAACCAAACTTGGTCCCTGTGCAGAGAGTGCAGGTGGACCCCACTGATCTGCAGAAGTATCACTGAGAGTCCCCCAAAGATATTTGTCTAGAGGTAAAGGACAGTGAAATAATAGCTCCCAAAGACTGGGAGAAAACTCAAGCTTTCTCGTCCTGGGTTAGTGAATGACTATCTTGTCCAGCTTCAAAAGCAGGTTGATAAGGATGACAAAGGACTATGTGGGGCTTTGGACATGTTGGTGAAAGTATGTTCAGTACCTCTAGCAAGAGATGCTAGGAAAGTTGGAAGAAATACTGTGAGCTGGGTGATGTACATCTGTGTCTCCCACAGGGGGAGCAGGAAGGTTTTAGGTATGGAGCTTATTAGTGACATGTCTGCCATTCTGGTTCCTCTGTGGGATGAAGAGCCAGGCAGCATTAAGGGACTGACCAAGCATCTGGAACCAATGTGAAGGCAGCTGTTCTGCTGTGTTCTGCCAACAAAATCCTTAGTTGGCCTGGCTCTCTCTCCTCCAACCATGGCATCCCAGTTCGGGAGGCACTGACCTATGTGGTCACCCACAGGGGATTGCACTGTGCTGTGTGCCGTTGCACTGTGGTAGGACTTGGCTTTCACAGTAGTACAGTCTTGCCCCCACATGAGTATAAAATGAGCAGATGTTGTAAAGGAAGAAGAATTTACAGTCAAACCTCTGCATTAGGAATCTGTGATGTCTCTGGTAACACTTTAAAATGTAAGATGAAGCATCTTAATCTCTTTGTTGCTGGCATTCTGAGTTGCATATTCATAGATGTTTATCATCATGCTTGCTGGCATCTATGAAAACAAACAGAATAATTGTTAATATCTGACACAGAACAATGACTTAAACCAGATGAGAACTGCTGAGACCTTCGTAAGCAGAATGTTACTGTTTTCTGCAGGTTACCTGTCAAAATGGACCAGAAAACCTAGTGAGACTGAGAAATCCATGGGGAAAAATTGAATGGAAAGGAGACTGGAGTGACAGGTGAGTTTAAAAAAGGAAAGGTATGTTGCTGAGGGGGAGTAAAAGTTTATTGGAGGAAAGATGCTGCCATCTTCAGGCATGAATTAATGCTGAGGGCAGCGTTCAGATAACTAAGTTCCTGCAAAGACCTTCTGGTGTCAAAACTTGATAGATTTGTGTGTCTCCAACAAATAGTACTTACGTAGTTGGGCTCACTTCACCCACGCAGCTTCAACAAGATCAGTTCTTGTTTTCCATTCACTGAATACCAGAGGAAACATAATATGAACATCAGACACTGACCACATTGCTGTGATCTGGATAGCATGCAAAGTGACAGATAGCTGAGCAGGAGGCTCTAAACAAACAGCATGTCTCAGGACACACAGTCCTTTATCACGGGAGGGCCTGTGCAAAGTCCTCCACAGGCTACAAAGTGCTGGAGTTCTGGGTGGCTTCAAAGGAGTCCTCTCTTCTGGCTGTTTGGGGAATACAGTTGGGTATGAGATCAAAAGAAGCAACCAGTGAGGCAAATAGGCCCTATATTTGCAGCTACCTTTTTTTTTTTTTTTTTTTAATTGGGATCCAGGAAAGACAGTGGTCTAGAATGCAAACCACTGGCAACCGTAAACTTGTGTCCAGTTCCTCTTTGAAGTGGAGAATGTTTCTTTCCTCCAAGCTTCACTTTGTTCCCTGTGCAAGCTCTCTTTGATGAGGCTTATGGGGGTAGAAAGGAGAGAAGAGTACAGAGGTTACTGGGAATGTGAGTGACTTTCACCTTGTCTGCTGAGCTGTAACTTCTCTGATGCGTGTCTGTCACATAATGACAACACACCAGCTGTTCCTGTTGAAGAGCATAATGAGCAACATACTGTAGGCCTGCCTTTGAAACGACTCCCAGCTGCCTCTTGTGCTGTCCTAGTCATTCGTTCATTATGCCAAACACTCATCCTATTATGTCCCCTTTGACAGAAAATTAACCAACAAAGCAGGTCTAAATTTTTATATTTTAAGTATTTGGAAGCTGCATCTTCAAGTGAGTGGACTAGCTGATGGAAACGAAGCGTTTCTGGCTTCTGCTGCAGAAAACTGGAGCCATTTAGCTACATCTCATGGGACTCAGAGTGGTCATGGAGAGTCTCATATGGCTGAAGGCATAGGAGCCTCTCTTTAGTGGGAGATACACATGGTGATATGTGGGGACAGGTATTTGGCTTCTTTTTGTAGAGGAGAGCTATGTAATCTGCCTTGAATTTGAGGCCACATTTGGTTAGTCATCTCATGTTATTCCCTTTAGCTCTTACAAGTGGGAGCTGCTGAGCCCAAAGGAGAAGATTTTGCTGAGGAAAAAGAAGGAGGATGGAGAATTCTGGTAATGCCACAGTCTTGCCTCTCTCTCTCTGCCAGTAGCTCTGGGGCTGCACCTGGAGATGAAGCAGCACCGTGGCACTTAGGCTGAGGCAGAGGTGATCTGCTTCACACGAGCCCATGCTCGCTCTCTGCTCCCCTCTGCCTGATGACATGAGAAGCAGTAGCTGTGCTGACACGGATGCACGGTTCTTCAGTGGCAGGAGCAAAGGAGAAGCAGGACATTGCCGGGTCTCCTGGGGTTGCTGGAGAAAAAGGACAACTTTCAGGAGCTGTTTTCCTGCCTTTTATTTTTAACATAGCTCTGGGAAGCTCTCGCCTGCTGTTTGTCCGTGGTTTCTCTATAGCTTCTGCCACGAGGTGGCAATGTTGCCGCCCCTGTAATTTCACTGCATTCTCTTTGATGGCAATATTATTTTATTCTCTGAGCTGCTATTCTCTGCTGAAGTTTTAGTCGTGCATTTGCTACTTCTAGATGCTGCTGTTGGAGCAGACGCTCTCTTCTTTACTGCCTAATAAAATATGAGCATTACCATATGTAACGCAGAATGGTGCGGCTTCGAAGTTCCCTGCTCCCTTCCCTTTTCTTTTTATGAGCCATATGGACTAAACTAAACTGCTGACAAGATGTCTCTTGGCACTCTTTTCCCAGGATGTCTCTGCGAGATTTTAGGATTCATTTTGTAGATCTGATGATCTGTAAACTAACTCCAGACCTGATGAGCCAGGAAGATGGGAAAAAGTGGATGTATTCCCTGAAGAGTGGGAGATGGGTTAAAGGAAGTACAGCAGGAGGAAGTCTGGGATTCTGTAATGGTGAGGGGTGCTCTCTTGGATGACTCTGACTTTTGGATGCTCTGCTGACTCAGTTACCAGCACCTTACACTTCTTAGCCTAAAATTGACAACAGAAATATGTGCTTCCTGCTTAAGCCTCCACACCAACATCAAAAATAAGCAGCTGAAGGACTTTGACTGGCTTCTGGTATCACAGAAAATGCATCACTTGCAAACATAGGGCAGTGGGTTGATTATAGCATGAAATGAGCTGCAGAATCACAGGATCAATTGCCAACACTGTTCTGCTTTAGGGCATTAAACTTGTCTATTAAAATTTGCATCCTCAGCACCTCCAGGGAGTGGTATTTTAAGTAAAGTGAATGGGAAATGCAGAAGCTCAGCTCTTCTGGAAGCAGAGCGGGTGGGGTCTGAAGTCAGCTAGCCCATATACCAGAGGTGATAGAGCAACGGTGATACATTTATAAACAAAATGAGCTCTTAGTTGCATGTAAGCGGAAATATAGTTCCTTGTTCCTGGATCTTTCTACTGTTTTAGATAATAGTTAGTTAGAGGGACTGCAAAACTTGTGACCTGCACCCTAAAATTCCTGTGGCGTCTGGAGGCATGGACGACCTGTGACCTATTCAGTCCAATGCCAGGCATCATATGGGAAAATGGCAGTCAATTTTGTGAGGGAAAATGACATCAAAATTCTTTTCTTGTTTTACTCAGGCAACTTTTGGATGAACCCTCAGTACTGGCTGAATGTTTTACCAGTTGAAGACGGTAAGAAAAGCCTGAATTCATGCAGTGTGGTTATATCCCTGATGCAGAAACACAGCAGCAAACACCGGAACCGAGCTCCTCACCTTTTCATTGGATTTTCACTCTACAAGGTGTGAATTGCTTTGCTTTTCTTGCTTTCACCACATAGGAAAACTTCCAGCCCCTGTAAATTGTAGCTCTTTGCAGACCAAGAGTGTTGTTGTGCCCAGGGTGATCTGTGCTCTTTCCTTCTGCCTGTGCCCACTCTCCTCACACGTCACAGCACAGCTCTGTGTCCCACTTGCTGCCTCTCCAGCATGCTGCATGTCACCCTGCAGAGCAGAGAGAAGTGCCTTTTGCTTCAAAGTACATTGGGCTTTATTTTCCTTTCTCTGAGACTATGTGCAACAGCTGGGAGAGGGTGCCAGGAGTGCCCTTACTTTGAGGGAGGAAGAGCTCTGCCCTCAGGTTGTTTCCAACCATGGTAAATTGTGCTTGAGAAGTGTTCCTAGTATGAGGTAGCAGCTGTCTGTGTGTGCATACTGCTAGTTCCCTGTGTATCCGGATATAAGTGGATATCCCCTCAGTTCTCTGCTTACCCTAGTGCCTTGAGAGCCACTCTCCTCCCTTGAACAGAGCCACAGCTCTTGGTGCTGCTGTGAGTTTGCACAGCTGCGGTGAGGTGACTGTGGGAAAGGGTTTTCAGGTGGATGGCCTGAGGTTTCTGGAGGCAAAGGCCCCAGATGGATACATGTAGCTGCTCTGCTTCCCAGGCATGACAGGGCTATGCTGTGTGAGCTCCCTGTCTGACAGTTGCTCTGTTTCTTTTCTTCCTCCAGGTGGATGTACAGGTGAGTCCCTTGTCACCACTGCTGACTGTTTGCTGGGGCACCTGGGCTGGTGCAGCTCTTAAGACAACACTGAAAGTTGTGTTTGCCTTTGTTCCTTGGCTGACAGTGAGTATTTGAGTTCAGTGAGGCACCACAGCAAGGCACTATTAATGCAGAGCTATCCATCCACTGACTCTTGTGAAAAGCTGTCATATCAGGAGGGCTCAGGGGCCTTAAAGGGGCCATTAGTTGTTCAGCTTCTGTAATGGGTTCTTCAAAGGTATTAAGAGTGGTATCAGTGTTAACAGAAAGGTTTAGCTCCTCTTGTCTTCTAAGGGCTTATCTTGCACTCTGTTACTGCTCAGAACACATCTTAAATGAAAATATGGGCTGGCAAAGAACTAGTTGAGGTGTATGGTTAGGGCAGCACGATTGTGTTCCTAGTTACTGTGTTTCCAGCACGGTAACTGCAAGGTAAGATCCCACTCTTTCCTGACTTAAACATTTTGTGCACTATCAAGGTTACAAGTAAGGTAAACTTGCTGGCAGAGGGGGTCTGGGTGCTGCCCACTCCTCTGTCACACCTGAGTGGGAATGGTGGCAGCCAGGACTTTAATTTCAGGTTTGTAGTGGTTGCCAAGATCAATACAGAGAGATGGCAAGCCGAGAGCATCTAAGGTATTGGAACTACTGTCAACGAAGTATTGACTGGAATATAAAAATTTTGAATTTAACATAAGGGGCATGAGGAGGAGTAACCCTGAACCCTTCAGAAGAAAGATTGCTCTATTAGTAAGAAAAATACTGGCAAAGGAAGAGGCATAGCACCTTCCCATGAGGCTGCAGAGTAAAATGACTAAATGTTTTGAGGAACAGCCAAGATCAGAAGGTGACAGTGGCTCTAGCTAGCAGGATTATTTATTTTGCTTGTGTACTGGGCACTCAGTGGCATTAAAAATTAGCTCTGTGTTGCCTGGATCAACACTTTATCCATCCTCTTGTTGCTGAAAAGTGCCTGTAGAGCAAAGAGTGTCAGGCAGATCAAGAACTCTTGCATTAAGTCAGGGCTAGGGCTTGGGTTGTGCCTGCAGTACATTCAGATCACAGGTACTCCAAAATCCTCTGCTACCAGATCCCTAGCACGAAGGACAAAGGATAGGATGGGTGTTCTGGCTAGTGAAGAGCAGTGTCTAGAGCAATTCCTCCCTGCAGTTATTTTTGCCAGTATGGAAAAGACTTTCAGAGTAGCCACTTTGACAGGAACAGCTTCTCCTCTCCAGTCCTCACTGCTGTTCCGTACCAGTACTCTTATATGGTTGATAAGTCGCAGGAAGCCCAGTTCTTTGTCATATTAGTATTGGGCATGGATGCTGCATAAGTAAGAACCACCATGTCATGGGAGGAGACTGAATCCTTTGGGCTCTGTTACCTGCCTGTGCTGCAAAACAACCTGAGGGGTGAGGGCAGGCTGTCTATGCCGTGCCTGTGAATCCTCCACATGCTTTCTGTGCATTTGTTCAGCTGGTGCAGAACACATTTCCCATATCTTTCTTCCCTGAACAGTACCAGGAAAGCAACAGAAAACTGCCCCCAGCTTTCTTCACCCGACATCAGCCTGTGAACAAACACCAGGTTTTCCTTGATGAGCGGGAAGTGACTCATGACTTCCATCTGGAGCCTTGTGTCTATGTGATTGTCCCATCCACCCTGGAGCCTCAGCAAGAGTCCGAATTCATCCTCCGGGTCTTCTCCAGAAAACATGTTCTTCGGTGAGATGCTGCTGCCCCTCTGCCAGCACCGAATTCTCTGGGATAGTCTGGTCTTTTCAGTCTAATGAGAGCAGCATAGAGAATTTACTCTGCAAAAAGCAGCACAATCTCTTTTAGAGAAGCTGGTTGTGGGTTTCTCCCACCTTAGGGTTCTCAGTGGCTGAAGCACTGCTTTTGGCCTTATCCTTTTGAGAAGTGTTGAGCTAGGCCCACAAAATTCTTGCAGCATGGCCACGTTTGAGACTGTGAGAAGGACAAGAGCTTTCAGTGCACCATTAATTTGCCAGGAGACCCTTCTGGCAATGCTAGGACAGTTGCTTGTGCATAACAGTGTTTTGAATACTTAAAATGCTGGCAGCCCTTGAAAGTTGTATGGACACGAGGCCTTCCCTTACTGCAGCTGTCACACCAGAGAATAAAACAACTCACAACAGCAGGTTGGGGCCCCATCTGGGATTGAGGAATGCCACCTGTGGTGAGACAAACATGTAACTCTGAGATACCCTCTTAACATGTCTGCTTTTTTGCATCTGCAGGGAAATGGGTGGGAACACGAGTTTCACCCTCTCTAAGGTGAGTGGGTGTGAGAGGAGTGGGAGGTCTGTGGTTCAGTCTTCAGCTCTGAATGTTGGGTTTTTACTCTGCTGTAGGACAGGCTGAGTGAGAATGTCAAGGCTTGTGTTTCAGCACTTTTGAAAGTATGGCTTGGGTTTACAGCCATGGGCCATGCAGACGGATGCAGTCAAATGTGGAGGGCAGGCTGGACACCTTAGCTGGTAGCCTTGTTGCAAACATCTTTTAGTGACACCATCTTACTGGCTCTGCAGTCTTTCCTGTTCATGGCTTTTTGGAGACCCATGGCCCATTCTTGCACTTGTCCCTGTCTCTTTCATGCCTTGAGAGTTTAGAAGACATCATGGGACCTGAGCAGTACTATTTCCATGCAGCTGCCTATAGGTTATTCTCAAAATAGCTGAGTTCAGTGGCAGTGCATGCATGTCTGCATCTTGTGCCAGGGGGTTTATAGCATAGTCTGTTCCCCTGGCTTAAAAATGCCTTTCCTGCTTTCATCTCCTCTGCTGTGCTGTATATAGAAAGACAGAGGCCCTTCTCTGTCTTCTTGGAAAAGAGCGAGCCACATCCTTTGTTGTTGAACAGCTTGGGGCAGGGTGGGGGGGATGCTTCTCCCTGCTGAGTGTTATCTGAGTGGGTCTGGGGAGCTATCTTAGCAGTGGGCTGTGTCAGTGATGTAGCACTGATTGCAGTGGTGGGGAGAAAGTGGAAGGGCAGGGGATGGAGTGCAGTTCTGGGAAATCATCTTTAATAACTTAGATGACAATATTTTTCTTCTGCAAGTTAATGATTAATATTTTTTTTTAAATACCTTAAAGGAAATTGTTGATAGATATGAAGGAAAGATTTGGGAGGATTTCTTCACAAAGCATTTTGAACAGGTAGGTGCTTGCATGAGCTGCCAGAGTTTACTCTGGCAGAGCTATTGTGTAGCTCTGTGAAAGTAAAAGCATGTGGATGCTTAATGGAGATCTGGATGTGGAAGTGTGGGGAACAGAGAGGGGCCACAGAGAGCACAGTGGGCTGTGTGTACAGTGATGACTCCATGCAGCAAATTTGACTGTGAAGCTTAGCAATATGATAATGTTAGAGATAGGCAGACTTCTCCATACAACAGGCTGTGAGTGCCTGGAACTTAATGCCACAGGATATTGTGGATGTGACAGTATCAAGAGGCATTAGCAAACTGATGGGCAGAAAGTCCATAAACAGATACTAAAGGACTGGGCATGGATGTAAACTCTAAGATCCCTTTTCCAACAGGTGTGGGTACCAGGGAAACAGCAGAATGGACTGCAGAAGCTGACCAGGCTCATATGCTCTCCCTAAACATTAATTCCTATTGCTTGCATTGGGGTGGGCTGTGTGAATCCATCCATTTAGGGTGTTCTTACATTCACTGGGGAAAGTTACCTATTAGAGAACATCCCCTGAAACACTGACACTTGTCTCATACATATTTCATCACAAGTTGGATGGCAACTAACTTGCTCTGAGAGGTGAAGTAGATATCAAGTGTCCCATCATCTCCCTTTTTCCCTAATTTTCCTAGTGAAATATGATCTTTAGTGTAAAAGATTCTTTTTAAGGATCTCTCTGGCCTTATTTGAGATGGCACTGACCATCAGGGATACCACTAACTATGGTGAGAGATGCAAGAGTTTCACCTTTCAGAAAAGGTCACTCCTTTTATTTAGCATCATACCCTATATCTGGCAAACACAATTTTACAAAAACAATTTTGCACTTTCAGTAGGAATATTTTGAAGGAAGCTGTTAGTAAAAGCAAGCAATGCTTTGACTTTATGCCACTGGTTTAAAATTTCGGTTTTGAGAATGGTGTGGCTTTCAGATGTGCTAGAAATTGCCACATACTGTGAGATGTCAGCCCTTTGCTGTCAGGAGGTCCAAGGATGCACAGACGCAGGCAGTACTGCCATTTCTGAAGGCATTACCCTGGCATGTCTCAATGATTTGAAAATAGCCTTTTATTTTTGAAGAGTGACATTTAAAAAAGCCCTCCAAACAAATGATTGTCACAGCTTCTAAAAAACCTGTAAACTTTAATATGACAAGGATGAGGGGAGTCTTTCCTTTGAAAAGTATGGGGAGAAGTATTCCAAAGTTTCCATCTTTTTTATCTGTAAGTGATAAAAGGGAAATATTTGAAGCAGGTCTCTTGATAGGGTGCTTGATGGGACAGATGGCACCAAGGCCAAAAGGTTAACAGTCTGGATCCTCACTCGGTGTAAATTTGCACTGCTGCATTGATCGGTGTGGAGCCCTGAGAACTTCTCCCAGAGCAGACTGCAGCTCTCGCAGGCTGAGAATCTTGTCATATTCAAAGGGAGCCTTTTCTATTGATTTTCACAGCGGCTGGAGTGGGGCCAGAAAAGCAAAGAATGAAGATGGGACATGCTGGGAAAACAAAAGTAGGAGAAAAGTGATTTAGCACTTTAAAAAAAAAAAAAAAGTAAAGTATTAAAATTCTCTTCTATATCACAGAATCCTGAAATAAATGCTGTTCACCTCCAGAAGATGTTGAATAATATATCTTGGAGAAGTAAGTACTGAAAAACAATGTTTCTGTAAAACAAGCCCTCTCAGAGAAAAGCCTCAGCTCCGTATATCTATTACTTGCATTCTGGGAAGAGAAACTGGCTTGAATCTGATTGAACTGATTCTTCAGATGCCATGTTAGATTTCCAGAGCAAAAGGATTTGCTGGGGTATGAATCAACATGGCAGAAATTTTACAAGTGAGGCTAATCTAGTTTGAATTCCAGCAACTGGAAGAATGGGGGAGAACAACTGTGGATGCAGACTCTTAGTTTGACCTCCAAACCTGGCTTGACCTCAGCCTTGATTCTGAAATCTCATCCCACCCTGTGCCACTGCCAGTCTTGGCAGCACCACTACTCAAAGGTGTGGAAAGCCTGGTCTGCAGGCATTTATGTGGTGGAAGAGGGCCTTGTCTTTGCCTTCATGTGCCTGGTTCATGCCTGCTATTCCTATTTACTCTTCCCTGCTATGCATGCATAGGGCTGTTCCTTGCTCTGTGTGTGTGTGGGAGACAGGATGAGGTGCAGGTGGCCTGTGTAACCTCTGCTTGTGAGACCCAGGTGAGCCCCGAGCTTGCCCCTCTGATGAAGACTGTGACATCCACTGTGCCAGGGGCAGCCCAGGGCACTCCACAACCTCATAATTTGGTCTCTAGTTATAAATAACACCACCTAGACAACAGCAAGGTATTACAGTGGCTATTTTCTCTGATCAATGACAATGAAATTACAGATATAATGTTGAATCCAGATTTCCTCTGCAGTTTCTTCACTGCTAACAACCAATGTGCAACATAGAAAATACTCCATCCAGCCATTACAGGCGACAAAGAATACAATCAAAAGCCTGATGTGATATCTTTTTTACTTAAGCTGAATTTGCTCTTTTCTACAAAGGTAGACAAGGATAGCTCTTCAGTGTTATTGCAGTGACCCACCAGGCATTGGCTTATCTGTGAGGGGACTATATGGAACAGGGAATCTTTATTTTTCATGAGTGATCGATTTTAAGACAGTGATTTAAAAAACTTTACAGTACTTTGATTCATATTTACTAAACAGGGCTATTACAAGATTAAAATTATTAAAGCATCTTGACTTTCTGCAGAGAAGAGATTGGTGAGTTATGATTCTGTTCCTTACTCAGTGTGAGGCTACAGACCATCTATAATCATGATTTGCAGTGAGATTGGAGCCTATTTTTGTTACTCTTCATGTAACTTATGTATGAACCAGGAATGCTAAGCTTTGATGCAGCATCATGTTTCCAGCAATGCCTGTACTTTTAATTATATTAACAGAGCTGGCACTGTGTCTGTGGAAGAGAAGGAGAGAGAGATGCTTAGTACAAGAGTTTCAATTAATCTGCAATGCTGTTCCCCAAAGCTCTTCAGGTCAAGTGACTTTGCTCAAGGTCATGCAGTAAATTCTGTTTGGGATTAGAGCTTTGGATGTCCTTTTCCTTCCATTTTCTCTAATAGCTGGAGATAGTGCACCATATTTCATTCTGTATTACATGCCTGCAGGGAGCTCATATTGGATTTTCTGAGACTAGTAGAATCCATCCTGTTGCCTCATATTTTTATCATCATAAATGATACTTCTTCTCAAGTGGGTGTAAAGTTTCACAAAGGCTTGGGAACTTGAACCCTCTCAAGTGAGGGGGAATTTTGTGAGAGTCCATTTTTCTGAGAGATATTCAGTGACTCCTTAAAACAAATTTTTTTTTCCCCCTCTTCCCAGACTTCCAGAATTTTCACCTGAATTTCAGCCTGGATTCCTGCCAGGGTATCTTGGCACTCCTGGATGTATCCTTCTCATGAGTGATACCTCTGACTCACATAATACTCTATTGGAGCATTATTTCATAGGGCAGACTGGGTGTTACTGTGATTTCTTTACCACCAGGACATGGCCCTGCTTATTGAACTTCTCACCCTCCATAATAGCAGTTCAGCTGTGACAGAATGGAGTTGGTTTGGGAAAGGGTTGATTCCTGCTGCTTCTGAAAGCAGCAGTCAGGTTTCCATTGACTTTGGTGGGAGGAGGATCAAGCCTATAGATAGGCATGTGGGCTAAGAAATCATTATCCTCATATTATAATTGTGTGAATGTTAGAGTGACTATAATTTTTTGGTTTGTTTGTTTTTTTTGTGGGTTTTGTTTGGTTTTTTATGGTTTTGTTTGTTTGTTTTTTAATATGTAATGGGTGCTACCTAAAGTTTAATTGAGATGTTTTGACTTTAATTCTCCCCACTAAGCTGAATGCCACTGGCACACTGAGTATCCAGGAATTCAGAGTCCTGTGGAAAAGGCTGCTTTTCTATTTGGTATAACAATAATTTCTGTGTTCCCTTGCAACATCTCCCTGCTCACAATCCCTTTGGTGTCATCTGTTGTTTTTTTTGGGTGGCTTGTTATGTTTAAAAGTACTCCCTTCACCCTCCAGGAAGTTTTCCAGAAAAGAGACACAAACAGATCAGGAAAGCTTGACCTCGTGGAACTGCATGCAGCTGTACAGGAGACAGGTGAGCCCATATTGCATTTTGACAAGTCTCATCCTCTTCCTCACAAAAGTGGAAAAAGCCTAGGGCTGGGGAACATCTTGATAATTGTAGGTAGAGCCTGGGAGAAGTGGAAAACATCATGGGCTACATGATCTTGGCATCTCTTCTTTCTTCTTTAGCTGGATAAACGCATCTGAAAATTATTTTGACGTGGGATGGGCTACTCAATCTTTGCCCCATTGTGGTCTCTTGCTGGTAGTTGCCTGAAACAGAAGTGTCTGCTTATTTTAGACACAGTTTTTAAATCCCTTCCTCTTCGTTGCTAATTGAATTTTAAAAGACTACGTGGGGTTGTGTGGATGCGTGCAAGAGGCCAGATCTAGGTCATGTTAAATTGCTACCTCCGCTGAAGACGGCAGCTCAGGTACCAAACCTGGAAATGCGGGACTTGCACAGAGGCACTACTGGTGCCACACTTCACTAATGCAATGTCTGAAGCTTGACCTAGAAATGGAGTATGATACATATGGGTCCAAGTGCTGGACCAAGCTCTGTTACTGTTACTGGGCATTGTGTGGGGGCTGTTGCTCAGTCTTGTAGCTTCCTTTGCATGTTTACAGCTTAAATATCATTCCTCTTTTTGCTGCATGTTCACCCAGTTCATCTGAGTCATTGAAAGCACAGCGAGAAACCCAGGCAGACCTCTGCTAAAGCAAACTAAAATCCCAGGCCATGAATAGAAAATGCTTTTATTCCTTGCAAATGCTGCTGTTGCTGCTTGACATTGGAACTGATGCTTTCTGTATGAGCTTCCTCTGGATTTTCATTTCTTTTCCTACTCTCTTGGGGACTCTTGCTCTTAAACCCAGCTGCTGCTATCACCCTCATATCCCATGAGCAAAGGAGGGCCATGTGTATTTTATTGCAACTCTGGCAGGACTGTGATTATAGGGGATAAGATCTGAACCCTTTTAAATTTGGGGGAGGTATCTTCATGTAGTGGTCTCATTTGGGCTGGCTAATGTTTGAGATTATCTTAGAGGAGGCTGGAGGAACCAAGCTGTTGGAGAAGGGCTGAAGACCACTCAGTTGTGCTCTGTGTGTGCCCACTGCTGGTCACATTCAGCTGTGTACAGCTGGGAGTTGCCATCTCATTCTGTTTTCCTTTTTTTTTTTTTTTTTTTCCTTTTCCATTTTATGAAGGCATTTCACTCAGCAATGAAGTCTGTAATTTGATGGCAATCAGATATGGTGACCCTGACTTACAGATCAGCTTTGAGAGCTTTGTTTGCTTCATGCTTCGAGTGGAGATCATGGGAGGTAAGGCTGGTGCTACGTGCCTGGCCAGGCAAGCTGAGCTGCCAGCTAAGCCCTGACCCCTCTGACGCTGCTCCAGCTGGCAGTGGCAAGGTCAAAATTAGTAGGACTGGATTTCTGAATAAACCAAAAATAATCAATTTAAAGAAAGGGACAGATATAGAGGAAATCAAGTTTTCTCTCTTTACTTTTCCACCAGTTACTTTTTAGAGACATCCAGGCTGTACATATCAGAGTGATGTAGCTCCCTGCAGGTTTGCACCAACCTTCTGTAGGAGGAGGTAGGCAAATTATAGATGAAGACTACTCATTTTCCATGAAGAAGACAGCCTTGAAATATACCCTTTTCAGGAAGAAGAGAGCCTTGAAATATATCTTTGATGGACTGCAGTTGTGATGATGAGACAGCTCACAGATATTCAGCCTGTGAGCTCATGCTGTAGACATTTTGCACATCCCAAAATTGTAGTGGGTGATGTTGGGACCCCCTGTATTTTGAGGTTTCACAGATGGGTGGGCAGTAATGTGCCTGACTTTATTCAGCTGCTCCCAGTGCTCCAGCCTTCAGGGATATTCCAGTGACAGAACAGAGAAGCTCACATGCACTTGTGAACAGCCTACATATTCTTCCTTTGAGTTTTTTCTTGAGACAGTGTCTTGGCTGATGGTGATCTCCTGGCTAGCAAGTTAATGCTCCTCATTTGTTCTTTTGCAGAGGCATTTCGCAACTTAACACAGGATGGCAAAGGGATATATCTCCGGGAATCTGAGGTAAAGCTCATTCATTGGCTGTCAAATGCAGGCTTCTTTGTTGCACATGGCACTGCATGCTTTGTTGTGCCGCATTAAAAAAGATATCTTTAACTGACTTTCTAACCTATGGTGTAGGTTAGAAACAACAAGGAGCTTCAGGCTTCTAGTCTTCTGCATTGTTATGGCTTCTTCTCCTTCTGGAAACAAAAAATCTCCAGTGCCCCACAGTCCAGTCCAGGTGTGAATATGGCAGAGCTCTCAGAGGGATGGGTTATTTCAAACGCACTTTCCACATTATTTTACAGTGGATGATGATGACACTTTATTCCTGAAGCAGTGCTGTAGAGGACAGGACAACCAGACCCACACCAGGATAAGGAAGTGTGTCTTGTTTCAACTTTCTGCGCACACTGGACTCTCTGGGTTCAGCCCTTTGACTTACTTTATATGAAAAGCCTTCCCCTCAAACAGACTTGACCTAATAACCACAGACTTGGTGAACTGAAGTTTTACTACTTAATGGATTTATTCTGAGTCCTATTTCACTTCAGACAACCCTTCTGAGAAGAGACTGCTGGATGCCAACCACTATGAGTGCACAGTGTCACACCGCAGAGCACGGTGGCTGAGTTGTTGGGGTCACCTACTTCATGCTGATGTTACGCTACTGTTGTCATAGGTACACATCGTGGCAGTGCCCAGAGGCTGTGCTTGGGGATGGGGCTCTTGAGCCTGGGAGAGAAATAGCCCCTACTCTGAGTAGTTTGTCACCTAATAGAGGGATTCCCAGTTCTGTAGCTGCTGCCCAAGGGAGAGGACAGGAGTCTGTGTGTGCTTGTGGGAAAGAAGGGATGGGAACTCACTGAATGAGCACTCTTCCCTAACCCTGACTCGAACAGGTGATTTGCAAATGTTCAAGCCATCTCTTTTGCTTTTATAAGTTAACACAGACATATTGAAGTGAACCTAAGTTGATTTGACCAAGAGATGAGCTGGGCCTCAAGCTGTTTGTTGTGTGATGATTGCATATTTATTTGAGAAAGGCAGTGGGTTTTCTCTGCAGATTGAAAAGTACGGTACAGTGAAAAGTAAACTGATCCCATATTGTTCTTCAGTCACTGGAGATTGGCAGGGAATGGATGTTCTCAGTAGCATGATATAGGAGCTGTCTGGTAAAACATTTGGATATTTTTCAGTTACTTTTTATAAAAGATGAGAGAGAGAGTGTATGTATATTTTAAATGATGCGGGAAAATGTAGGTTGTAGCTAATTAGTGAAAACTTGGCACGTAGCTGTGACCAGCGTTAGAGAACATGTTATAAGTGGGGCTGTTCACATCAAAATCCATGAGAGAGTTAATTGATGCATCTATCTGTGGGATCCTTTTCCACCTTCTTACCACGCATTTATTTGGGCTGGAAATTTCCGAGCTAAGTGCCTGTTACAGGTTACTTCTTTGATTTTTTAAATTTTTTTTTTCCCCATTCCTGCAGGCAGCACAACTGTGGCTCTTTTCCAGTGCACAGCCTAGTCAGGGCATCAAATGAAATCGAGCTCCAATGGGAATGAACATATAATGAAAGACCATACTTTTAACGCCTTTGTAGGAAGAAGTTATACTAAGCTTGTATAGGCAGCCTTCCCTCTGGCTTTTTGTGACTTTTTTGTGACTTAATCTCTTAAACATCCTTTTAGAGTGTGCGTGAGATTCAGGAATGAGGTAGACTGTGGATAAGAAAGTAAACATGAGCAAAAGACCAAGTTCAGGTATTTGCTTACCAGTGCATTGAAGCCTGTGCAATAACATAAGCATATTTAGAGAGGAACCTCACCATGTTTAAGTGTTCCCAGTCAGGAGGCATTAAACAATAAAAACAACAGCATGCACTTTATGCCCCAGAACAGTCTGTTTCTAAATAGTATCATTTTCATACTGTTTTTATGAGAAAACTGTTTGTACCAGAGCTGTGTTGGTACTTGTTTATTACAGATGATGCATCTATCATCTACTGTGAGTGACCTGCTTTGGTGTCACAGGAGCCACAGGGTTCAGATCTGTGAAGCAGAGCAGGTTAGAGGGAGCAGAGATGTCCAGGGCCCCTCGAGCAGCAGTGTCACAGGGCTTGCTGTCCTGCTGGGCTGCTGAAGGAGCAGCAGTGTCACAGGGCTGCTGTCCTGCTGGGCTGCTGAAGGAGCAGCAGTGTCACAGGGCTGCCGTCCTGCTGGGCTCCCGAAGAGGCTCCCTCAGCAGGTCCCCTCACAAAGCACGTGCCCTCTCCCAAATGCCTTGCCTCTTGCTTCCTTTTGTGACTCGCAGCTGAACATGATGGTACAAACTAAATTACCCTGATTTAATTTGCACTCAACTCAGCAGGGGATGTTATAAACACTGATTTACTGTGTGCAGGAGCAGCACTGGAAGAGCAGAAAAGGTTGATTGGGAGAGCGTGGGCCCTGCTTTTCCAGCACGCTCTGAAAAAGATGGTCCCTGGCACCCACGGGGATCTCCAGGGGGGTCTGTGTGAGTGCAGAGTGTTCTCAGCAGGGCTCTGTTGGACATGATGGGATGGGAATCTCTTGGTCCCAACTTGGTTTTTTGCACTATTTGTGTAATCAGCTGAGCAAGAATCATTTAAGGCTGGACGTAGCTCTGCCATGGGGTGTGCGCAAAACTGTGGTGCAGGACACGCGGTTTCAAACTGCAGTTCATTTTAATGTTGTACACATTGTTTTTTCTACCAGATTTTGTACTTATTTACTTCACACCTCTTTAATGCAGAGCAATGTAATTGCAGGGAGATTATTTTGCTATTGATTACTTGATCCAGGAAAGAAACAGAATTCATCCATGCCATGAATCACTAAACATTTGCAGCAATAAACTTTATTGAGCCATGTGACTTGCTGTTACAGAATTGTAAAGAATGCTTTACTGGAATGATTATACCAAACCGTGTACAATTCAAACTGAATTATCTGGCTCACAATAAAATGTTTTTGGCAAGGGCACCTACTCGGACACTGTGAGGCTTTTATATTGCTAACAGAATAATGTTTTCTGGGCAATTCTGAAGATATATTACTTCTCATTTACAATGTGCATTGTGGAAAAATGGTCTAAAATGCTGCTGAAGGATGCATTCGTTTGTAACCACAGCATTTGTGGAGATGCTGAGCTTTGCAGAGGCTGGTATTGCTCTAGCAGAAATGAAAGAAAAGTGAGGCTGGGGCTTGAGACTAGCATTGTTAATAAAAGTCCTTTTTTGAGAAGGCAGGTGCAGGAATACAAATAATACCTGAATTGGTAAGAGGAGCTGGATGGTGAGGTATACTGTAACAATAAGACTGAGATGAAATTGAAAGAACTAATCCACACTTCGCAAACAAAATATTCAGCTAGAGCTTTTTGCTGCAAGGTACACACACACAACTGGAAGCATTTAATGTTTCCTGGGTATAGCTGGTGCACACGTTCAGTGTGCAGTCGGGGTACAGCAGGTACCTGTCAGCCTCACTGTGTGCACTCTGCATGCTCAGGGCTTCTGAAGAGATGGCAACAGGACAGGCTCTACTCTCAAGCCTAATAGGATTCAAAAAGGAGCTCAGACTTACAGGAATGACCGGCACAGCTGGAGAGGTCCTGGCTTCAGTGAAGAGCTGTGCAGGAGATTTGGTATCTGGCTTCAGGCAAAAGGGGAAGAGCTCTTTTGGGGGCAAGTTACCCCGAGATCATGGGGCTCTTTCCCTTAGACAGCGAGGGATGACCACTTTTGAAGAGATACCAAAGTGGTCTAGGCTTGGGATTGAGTATATCTGTGCATTTCTTTCTGGGCAATCAATTAAAATTTGAAGGTTTACACGCTGTTGAGACACTGCAGTGTAATTCTGTGTCTGAGATCCCATCTCTCCTTTTCACCAGTTTTACAGTGGGGTAAACAAGATTCCTGCCTTACCTAAAAGCATATTGCAATCCCTTCCTGGGAGGTATTATATTCATGTAAGAGGCTCCTGCACAAACCACCATTGTGGTTGGCCAAGCTGTGCCAGCAGACTTTGATCATACCAGGAGATGCTCTGTGTAGAATGAATAATGTTGGTTTGGCTTTAATTACTGAGCAGTACATGTAATCCTAACTCCACAGTCCAGAAGTGGGCCTCTAAAGGGCAAGTTGTCATTGGACCCATGCCATAAAAATTAGGACTTTGAAGCCTCTGGAAGGAAAAGCCTGTTTCCAGGGGCATTTGGTGCCTGAAAACTGGTCACTGAGCAGAGTGGGTATAAAGTGTGCAGGCCTTTGCATGGGGATGTGATGGGAGTGCAGAGACAACCTGGAGCCAAAGCCACTACTAAATCCAGGTGTCCAGCAGTCCTCACTCACCCTCTCTCCAGTTCTGCAGCCTCACCAGGAGACTCAATGGGATTTCAAATTTTGCAAGCTTGAAGTCTTTTTTTGTTTCCTTTGTGGGCTGTTAAGGTTAGTGCTCCAAGCTTTCTGCCCAGACACTGAGGGCTATGGAGACTTTTCTCCCCAAGTCAGTCCTGCTAGGCTCTGGCTGATTGTAACCCTGTGCTCCACTGTGGAAGAGGGGTGAAAAGCTGTACTGTGATACACAGGCTGATATTTTTATTCAGATTCAGAAAAGTGAAGGGCAGAAAGCCCTTTTGATATTATTTATAGTGCCACAATGCTGAGAGGAGGAGGATCAGGTCCCCAGGGTGATGGCTGCTATGTGACAAGAAGAGCAGCATTTGCTGTCTACTTAGAAAAAGAAGTACTTTTGCAGTTGCCCGGGGAAGTGACCTTAGTTCAGCCTGGGGCTCTGTTAAGACTTGACCTGGACCTCAATTTCCTGCAGCCCAGCCCACCAGCTCCTCTTCCCTTTGCATGCCAGAGCATTGCTGCTCTGGAATCCCCATACTGCTGGGAGCCAGATTTTTCCCATAAGCAACACTTCTTTCTCGCTGGCATCCAGGATCTCAAGTTAGGATGCCGTCCCAAGGTTTGGGGCTTGGCAAGAAGCCAGTGATTGCTGGGTAGTTCTTCTGCACCTCTCTATCTTCATGCACACCCTCACACATACCTGTGCACCCCACCTAGCCTTCCTTAAAAATTGTTGCAATGCTGTGCTGAAATAGGAGGTGAAAGAGATCTTTTTTTTTTTTTTTTTCCCTCTCCCCTGCTCAGGGAGCAGCTCCTTGCAGAATGAAATGCTAACGAATGCCTTTGCCTTTCCTTCCTGCTGTGTCTTACACTGAATTAGACCTGAAAAGCAGTATCACCAAGCTTGAAGTTCAATTTATCAGTGCAGTCAGGATTGATTTGTTACACTACCTATTCT